CGTATCTCGACATAACAAAGGCCATATATGAAAGACCTACAGCCAACATCATACTCAATGAGCAAAAACTGAAAGCATTTCCCTTAAGAACAAAGACAAAACAGGGATGCCCACTTTCACCATTTTTATTTAACATAGCACTGGAAGTCTTAGCCACAGCAATCAGACAGGAAGAAAAACTAAAAGGGATCCAAATTGGAAAAGAGGAAGTGAAACTGTCATTATTCGCAGATGACATGATACCATACGTAGAAAATCCCAAAGACTCCATCAAAAATTTACTAGACTTAATAAATGAATTTGGCAAAGTAGCAGAATACAAAATTAACGTCAAGAAATCAATGCCATACTTATACACCAATAATGAACTCACAAAAAGAGAAACTAAAAAAAATCCCATTTACCATCGTGGCAAAAAATTAAGATACCTAGGAATAAACTTAACCAAAGAAGTAAAGGACCTATTTGCAGAAAACTACAGGTCATTGAAAAAAAAAAAAAATAGAGGAAGATATAAAAAAGTGGAAGCACATACCTTGTTCATGGATTAAAAGAAGTAACATCATTAAAATGTTCATATTACCCAAAGCAATCTATAGATTTGATGCAATCCCCATCGAAATACCAATGGCATACTGTACAGAATTAGAACAAGTACTTCAAAAGTTCATATGGAACCAAAAAAGACCTCGAATAGCCACAGCAATCTTGAAAAAGAAGAACAAAGTAGGAGGGATCACATTATCAGATTTCAGGTTATACTACAAAGCCACTGTAATCAAAACAGCCTGGTACTGGCACAAGAACAGGCATATAGACCAGTGGAACAGAACAGAGAACCCAGAAATGGACCCAAGGCAATATGCTCAATTAATATCTGACAAAGGTGGCAAGAGCATACAGTGGAGTAAAGATAGCCTCTTTAATAAATTTTGGGCAGCTACATGCAAAAAAATGAAACTAGAGCATCAACTTACACCATACACAAAAATAAACTCAAAATGGATAAAAGACTTAAATGTGACTCATGAATCCATAAAAATCCTAGAAGAAACTGTAGGCAACAAAATTTCAGACATTATATGCAGCAGAATTTTCACTGATACATCACCTAAGGCAATAGAAACAAAGGAGAAAATGAACACATGGGACTACATCAAACTCAAAAGTTTCTCCACAGCAAAATGTACAATCATCAAAATGGAAAGGCAACCCACTGTATGGGAGAGCATAATTGTCAATGATATATCAGATAAGGGGTTAATTTCCAATATATAGAGAGTGCTCATACAACTCAACAAAAGGAAGACAAAGAATGCAATTAAAAAATGGGTAGGGGAACTAAATAGACACCTCTCGAAACCAGACATACAAATGGCTAAGAGACACATGAAGAAATGCTCACCACCACTCATCATCACAGAGATGCAAATTAAAACAAGGAGGTATCACCTCACACCTGTCAGAATGGCCACTATCAACAAATCACCAAACAACAAATGTTGGCAAGAGTGTGGAGAAAAGGGGACTCTAGTACACTGCTGGTGGGAATGCAGACTGGTGCAGCCACTATGGAAAACAATATGGTGTTACCTCAAATTAAAAATTGAATTGCTATTTGACCCAGTGATTCCACTTCTAGGAATATACCCTAAGAAACCTGAAACACCAATCAGAAAGAATATATGTACCCCCATGTTTGTAGTAGTACTATTTACAATAGCTAAGATCTGGAAACAGCCCAAATGTCCATCAGTAGATGAATGGATAAAGAATTTGTGGTACATATACACAATGGAGTACTATGCAGCTATGAGAAAGAAAGATCTCTTATCCTTCGAGACAACATGGAGGGACCTGGAAAGTATTATCCTAAGCAAAACAAGCCAAGCAGAGAAAAACAAATACCACATGATCTCACTTATTTGTGGAATATAATGAACATAACAGTCTGAGGAATGGGGTAATCCCAGAGACGTGGAAGTGGGGTACAGACTGACAGTCCCCAGAAGAGGAGGTGCAGGTGAGATAAACCACAGAACTTATATGCATGTATGTATGAACAATGGACATGGACAACAAAGGTGGGGACAGGGCGGGGAGGGAGAGGAAGTGGGGAATCAGTGGAGGATAGAGGAGAAACATCTGTAACAAAAAGAAATTAATTAAAAATAAAATAAAAGGCAAAAAAACCACACAGTGTGTTACTTACATTTTTTAAATTGCCTTTAGAGAGAGAGGTAGGGAGGGAGGGAGAGAAAAAGAAACACCAACGTGAGAGAGAAACATGGATTGCTTGCCTCTGGCTCACACCCCGACAGGGAATGGAACCCAGAACCCAGGTATGTGCCCTGACAGGGAATCGAACCAGCAACCCTTTAGTGCACAGGACTGCATTCAACCAGTTGAGCCACACTGGCCAGGGTAAGTTAAGTTATATTTATATTTCTTCTGGTGGAGTTTTTACTTGTAAGAATGGGACCCAATTAATGTCTTATCCATATGGTTTATATACAAGACGTTTTATTCAGTACGTCCTTTCATGCCTTTAGATAAAACTGGATTTTTTTTCATGTTTTAGATAACTAGAATGACATCTACAGACTTTTTTTTTTTTCCTGTGAGATCATTTAAATGAGATCATTAAACTTTGTTTAAATGGGTCTCTAAATTATGTGACAGATGTTTTGGTCAAGTTGTTTCCATTAAAAACTAGTGACTTGAAAAACTAGTAATGTAAAACTGCCACACACACTAAAAACCCAAATGGTCCACAAAGCGTTCTCATTTCCTTTTGAAGGTTTTATGATGTGCTGTAATCATTAACAGTCTTTTACCATCTTACTTAAAAGGCCATTTGAGACAAACAGTTCTGAGACTTCTTCCACCTAATTAGACCCAGAATGCAAGTATTGGGGATAATAATCATTTAGCCTACTGATCTTTCTAGGCAGACTTGGTGACTTTCCCAGCTCCAGATGCCTTCTTGCCCACTGCTTTGATGACACCCACAGCAACTGCCTGTCTCATGTCACGAACAGTAAAACAGCCTATAGGAGGATAGTCAGAGCTCTCAACACTCACGGGTTTGCCAGGAACCATATCAATGATGGCAGTATCACCAGATTTTAAAAACTTTGGGCCATCTTCCAGCTTTTTTCCCAGAACAATGACCAATCTTCTTCAGCTCAGCAAATCTACAAGCACTGTGAGCTGTGTGACAATCCAGCACAGGTGTGTATCCAGCACTGATTTGGCCTGGATGGTTCAGGATGATCACCTGAGTTGTGAAGCCAGCTGCTTCCAATGGTGGGTCATTTTTGCTGTGAACAGCCACATTGCCATGATGAACATTTCTGACAGACACGTTCTTGAAACTGAAGCCATACTGTTCCCACTAAGAACTTCACTCAAAGCTTTATGGTGTATTTCAACAGGCTTTATTTCAGTTGTGACATTGAATGGAGCAAACACCAGTCTCCGTGCTACCCACGGGATAGTACCAACACCAGAAATTTTGTAGACATCCTAGAGCGGCAGATACAGGCTTGTCAGTTGAACGGGTTTGTGGAAGAATGTGATCCAGAGATTCAAGCTGTGTGGTTCCACAGACATTGCCATATTTTTTAAAATATGTTTTTATTGATTTTTTTAGAGAGAGGAAGGGAGAGAGAGATAGAAACATCAACATGAGAGAGTAACATCATTCGGCTGCCTCCTGCATGCCCCTCAACTGGGGATTGAGCCCACCACCCTGGCATGTGCCCTGACCGGGAATAGAACAGAGCTCTCTCAGTCCGTGGGACAATGCTCAATCCACTGAGTCACACCAGCTGGGCAGCGTTGCCATCTTTATGGGTAACTCTCCCTAACTTGAACCAAGGTCTGTTAGCACTTGGATCCATCATGTTGTCACCATTCCAACCAGAAATTGGCACAAATGCTAATGTGTAGGGTTGTAGCCAATTGTTTAAATGTAGGTGCTGACTTTCTTAACAATTTCCTCATGTCTCTTTTGGCTGTAGGGAGGCTCAGTGGAATCCATTTTATTAACACCAACAATCACTCGTTTCACACCCAGCATGAAAGCCAGAAGGTCAACCTCACAGGTCTACCCATTCTTGGAGACACCTGCTTCCAGTTCACCAACACCAGCAGCAACAATCAGGACAGCACAGTCAGCCTGAGATGTGCCTGTAATCATGTTTTTTATAAAGTCTGTGTCCTGGGACATCAAGCATGGTCACAGAATACTCGGCTGTCTCACATTTCCACAGGGAGATACTAGTGGTGACACCACACTGATGTTCAGCTTTCAGTTTATCCAAGATCCAGGCATACTTGAAGGAGCCCTTCCCCACCTCAGCAGCTGCCTTTTAAAAAATGTCAATAGTTCTTTGGTCAATCCCATCACCTTTGTAGATCAGATGGCCAAGAGTGGTAGACTTGCTGGAATCTCTATGTCCGATGATTACAATGTTGATATGAATCTTCTTCTTTCCCATTTTGGGTTGTTTTAGTTGTGATTTTCATGACACCTGTATTCTGGCAGCAAACCTGTTGTGAAAAAAACTACAAGCCTTTTCACATTCCTTCCAATTATAGGGTATCTCTACAGTGTACCATTCTCATTTGTCTTTCAATGGTTGTGTAAAAATAAAAGCTTTACCACAATTTTTCCAGTCATATTGTTGTCTCAAATATGAGCTTTCATGTATTCAAAGATAAATGGGACACAGAAATGTCTTACTACGTTCCTTGACATTGATAGGGTTTTCCCTTATTATGATTTCTATGCATTTGGAAACTTAAATGAAAACTGAAAGCTTGCCCATATTCTTTATATAAACAGGATCTCTCACATAGGAGAGATTCTATAAATATAAGAATAGTTTTGTGTTTGCAAGAGTCTTATCTGTAGGCTTTACCATATTTTAAAAGTTTATTGGGTCTTTAGTGTGATTCTTCATGATGTTTAAGATAAACTGGACACCTGAATGCTATACTATATTCTTTACCTTTTTGGGGTTCCCTTCATGTTGAGTTCTTTCATGTCTTTGAAGATAACTGTGACAAATGAATGCTTTAGTACATTGCTTACATTCATAGGGTTGATCTTGAGAATGAGTTCTTTTGTGTGTTTGTAAAGAACTGTGATATGTGTAGGCTTTACCACATTGTTTACACTCATAAGGTTTCTCTCCACGGTGAATCTTTTGTTTGTTTGTTTGTTTGTTTGTTTGTTTGTTTTGTTACGTGCCCCTAGTGGGAACCGAACCTGGGACTCTCTGGTCCACAGGCCGACATTCCAACTGCTGGGCCAAACTGGCCAGGCTCCACTGTGAATCTTTCATGTATTCGAAGAGAACTGGAACACCTGAATGCTTCAACGCATGTTTTACATTCATACGGTTTCTCTCCAGTGTGAGTTCTTTCGTGTGTTTGTAAGGAACTTTGGACTCTCCAGGCTTTCCCACACTCCGTACACTCATAGACTTCTCTTGAATGTGAGTTCTTTCATGTTTTCTAAGGTCACTGGTGCACCTTAATGCTTTAGTACATTTTTTTACATTCATAGGGTTTCTCTCTACTGTGAGTTCTTTCATGTATTTGTAAGTAACTTTGGTTTTTGAAGGCTTTTCCACTTTCCTTACATTTATAAGTTTTCTCTCCAGTGTGAATTCTTTCATATTTTCTAAGATGACTGGGATACCTAACTGCTTTAGTACATTTTTTACATTCATAGTGTGTCTCTCCAGTGTGATTTCTTTCATGCTTACGAAAACTAGGATACCATCTGAAGGCTTTTCCACATTCCTTACATTCATACAGTTGATTTTGAGAATGAGTTCTTTTGTGTGTTTGTAAAGAACTCTGATGTCTGCAGACTTTACCACATTGTTTACATTCATAGGGTTTCTCTCCAGTATGCGTTCTTTCACGTAATTGAAAGGAAGAGTAATAACTAAAGGCTTTCCCACATTCCTTACATTCATACAGTTTCTCTCCAGTGTGAGTCCTTTCATGTATTCTAAATGAACTGGAAGAAATAAATGCTCTCTCACATTCCTTACATTTATAAGGTCCTTCTCCAGTGTGAATGATCATGTGTCCATGAAGGCTGGAGAGAGCACTAAAGGCCTTCCCACATTCCTTACATTTGTAGGGTTTTTCCCCAGTATGAGTTCTTTCATGTCTTTGAAGAGAATGGACAAAACTGAAGTCTTTGCTACATTTTTTACATCCGTAGGGTTTCTCTCCCATGTGAGTCCTTTCATGTGTTTTAAAGGTTTTATGATATCTAAAGGCTTTACCACATTTTTTACATTTATACGGTTTCACTCCTCTGTGAGTCCTCTCATGTGATTGAGACTTTGATAATATGTGTAAGCTTTTTCACATTCTATACACTCATAGGTTTCTCTCCTTTGTGAATCCTTTCATGTCTCTGAAATGTCTGATAATATTGGAAGGCTTTAGAACCTTGTTTACATTGATAGGTTTTCTCTCCAGTGTGGATGGTTTCATGTATTCGAAGTGAATATGAAGAACTCAAGCCCTTTCCACACTCCCTACATATATAGGGCTTTTCTCCAGTATGACTTCTTTTGTGCTTTCGGAAGGAAATGCAAGATCCGAAGGTTTTACGACATTGCTTACATTCATAGGGCTTCTCTCCAGTGTAACTCCTTTTATGTATTTTAAATAAATGGGGAGAAATAAATGCTTTTTCACATGCCTTACATTTATAAGGTCCTCCTCCGGTATGAGTGATCATGTGTAGCTGAAGGCTTGAAAGTGCACTGAGGGCCTGCCTACAATCCTCCCATCTGTAGAATTTCCTCCTGATGCAAGTTCTTTCATGTCTTCGGAAAAAACAGAGACAACTGAAAGCTTTACTACATGTTTTACGTCCATAGGTTTCCCCTCCTGTGAGAGTCCTTTCTTGTGTTTTAAGAGTTTCATGATATCTACAGGCTTTTCCACATTGTTTACAATGATAGGGTTTCTGTCCAGTGTGAGTTCCTTCACATATTTGAAGTGAAGTTGAATAACCAGAGGCTTTCCCACATACCTTACATTTATATGGCTTATCTTCACAGGTCAGATACTCACAGGACTTGTGTCCATTATGACATCTGATGTGCCAATTATGAGACGACCGCTGCATGCAGACTCTCCCACTCACACTATTCCCATGGCTGTACTCCAGAAAGAGTCTTCTTGTTCAGACTGGGATTTGGAATAAGGCTGAGGTTTTCTCCACGTTGACTGCCCTCATCTCTTTCACAGATTTTGTCTATCCTATGACTTCTGTAAAAACCAAGAAGCATGGTAATGACTTATTCATAATTTTATATTTATTAGTAAAATATTTAAACTATATTTTTATGATTTATGCCAAAAATATAGGTTTTCTCTGTTGTCTAAACTGTTTGAAATTGAACACACTGAATGCTTTTTAAAAACTTTAACCTGTTTTTTTATCAATACGGAAATATTCATATATAAGATTTATTTCTACTGCTTGCAAGTGAACTCTTTTTAAAACTCTGAACATCTATATTATATATTAAAAGTAATTTGGTGAACATATTTTGAGAAGTAATACTTTTGCCCTGGCTGGTTTGGCTCAGCAGTTGGAGCGTGGGCCTGCGGACCAGAGAGTCCTGGGTTCTGTTCCCACTAAGGGCACATACCAAAAAAAGAAAGAAAGAAAAAGAGAAGTAATACTTTTGAAGAAGGGGTTGTTTTGGTTGCTGCTTTTTAACATTTTGCAGCATACCAAGATTCCCACGAAAGACAGTGCTTTCTATTGTGAGTGCAGCTCACCTTAGTTTTCTCCCTTGGTTTTTGTACTGATCTTTGACGTCAAGATTTTCCCCTGAAATGCATACCAACAATAATGAACCCAAAGTATTGAACATTATTAAGAAAATCATTAGATTTAAGTCTATGAGTGGCTGTCACAATGCCCAGGCTATTTAACAAAGGCCTTCCTTCCCACATTATATATACATCTTAGAACAATGTTATAAGCAAGAAACACTTGTCCTCTAATTGACAAGATGGAGGTAAGTTGTCATCCTTACCTACTGAGGTCAGCTTCCTGAAGGTTTCCCTCATCACATCTCTGTAGAGTTTCTTCTGTGAAGGATCCAGTAAAGCCCACTCCTCCAGGGTGAAGGTCACAGCCATCTCCTCAAAGGCCACCAAGTCCTAAAACATCCAACATATGTGTGTAGTAGGTTGCGGGAGACAGCACTGGACATCGATACTCCATTCACAGGAAGGTTACATATGACCCTGTCATTTCCTTTTTTTTTTTTGTTCAGATAGAGTAGGAGGGAGAGGGAGAGAGAGAGAGAGAGAGAGAGAGAGAGAGAGAGAGAGAGAGAGAAACATCAACGTGAAAGGGACACATTGAATGGCTGCCACCCACACGACCAACCAGGGCCGGGGACAAACTGCAACCGAGGTACGTGCCCTTAGCGGGAACCGAAACCGAATCTCTCTGGACCGTGGGCCGATGCTCTAACCGCTGAGCCAAACTGGCCAGGCTGACCCTGTCATTTCCAAACATTCACTATAACTGATCATCAGAAACATACTCTCTTCCTACTTTCTCAAAAGTTAAATGCATCATAAGCACATGGGAATCATTTATACACTTTTACAGTGATCACATTTTATCCTATTTTTCTCTAATGGCAGGTTATAGAGTTTGGAAAAACAGAAATGCTATACAATGAAACAAATATTACTTTAAAATCATCAATTCCTCATAAGAAAAAATATTTCATTTCCTACCTTTTACTCACTATTTACCGCACGCCCTTGGGCAGAGGGTCACATCCACATGAGGTTTCACTGAATAAAATCATGGTGAGGCCCTGGCCAGTTTGGTTCAGCTGTTAAAGCATCAGCCCACAGACCAGAGAGACCTGGGTTCGGTTCCCGCTAAGGGCACGTACCTCAGTTGCACTTTGTCCCTGGTCCTGGTTGGGATCATGTGGGTGGCAACCAGTCGATGTGTCTCTCTCACATCGATGTTTCTCTCTCTCTCTCTCCCTCCCTCCCACTCTATCTGAAGATAAATACAAAAATGTCCTTGGGTGAGGATAACAACAACAACAACAACAAAACATGGTGAAGAATTGGAAACTTTTCCTTCTATTCTCATCACCAAAAATAAAAAGTCCAGGTGACCATCTCATCCAATAGTTCTCCAGGCCATTAGAAGTACAGGCTCACCTCATTTTATTTTACTTCTATTTACTGTACTTCAGAGAAATTGCATTATTATCAACATCAAGACCAGGCACTCCACTAGCAAAGACAGTGTGACTCACTAAAGGCTTAAATAATGGTAAGCATTTTTTTTTTTTTTAGCAATACAGCATTTAAAAAATTTTTAAATTACAGTTGAAATTTAACATTATAGTTATGTCAGGTGTACAGCATGTGGCTAGACATTTATATAACATATGAGGTGATAACTCAATAAATTTAGTACATACCTGATACCATACATAATTATTATAACATTATTGACTATATTCTCTATGTTGTACTTTACATCCCTGCAATCAGGCTTTTTTTTTTAATCCTCACCCATGGATATTTTTCCATTTATCTTTAGATAGAGTAGGAGGGAGGGAGAGAAAGAGAGAAAAGCATCGATGTGAAAGAAACATATCAATTGGCTGCCACCCACACAACCCCAACCAGGGCCAGGGACAAACTGCAACCAAGGAACGTGCCCTTGGCCGGAATTGAACCCAGGTCTCATTAGTGCACCGGCCAACGCTCCAACCACTAAGCCAAACCGGCCAGGGCTTGATGGCATTTTTATACAGCAATAATGAATTCTCAGAAAGAGAAACTAAAAAATAAAAATCCCATTTACCATTGCAACAACAAAAATAAGATACCTAAGAATAAATTTAACCAAGGAGGTAAAAGACCTTTACTCAGAAAACTATAGGACACTGAGAAAAGAAATAGAGGAAGGTACAAACAAGTGGAAGCATATACTGTGTTCATGGAGTGGTGGAATTAACATCATTAAAATATCTATACTACCCAAAGCAATTTATAGATTCAGTGCAATCTGTATCAAAATGCCATTGACATATTTCACAGATCAAGAACAAATATTTGAAAAATTTACATGGAACCAAAAATCATTCCAAGTAGCCACAGCAATGTTGAGAAGGAACAACAATGTTGGCGGGATCACAATACTGGATATCAAACTATACTACAAAGCTACTGTAATCAAAACAGTTTGGTACTGGCACAAGAACAGGCATACAGATCAAGGGAACAGAACAGAGATGCCAGAAATCAACCCATGCCACTATCGTCAATTAATATTTGACAAAGGGGGCAAGAGCACACAATGGAGTAAAGACAGTCTCTTCAATAAACAGTGTTGGGAAAATTGGACAGGTACATGCAAAAAAAATTTGAAACTAGATCACCAACTTACACCATACACAAGAGTAATCTCAAAATGGATAAAAGACTTAAATGTAAGTCATGAAACCATAAAAATTCTACAAGAAAATATAGACAATAAAATCTCAAACATATCATGCAGCAGAATTCTCACTGATACATCTCCTAGGGCAAGAGAAACTAAGACAAAAAGGTAAAGAAATGGGACTACATCAAACTAAAATGCTTTTGCATGCAAAAGAGACCATCAACAAAATGAAAAGGGAACCTACTGTATGGGAGAACATATTCACCAATGATAAACTGGATAATGGGTTAATTTTCAAAATATATAAAGAACTCATACAATTCAACAAAAGGAAAACAATTAAAAATGGGCAAAGGATGTAAATAGACACTTCTTCAAAGAAGACATACAGATGGCCAATAGACATTTAAATAATGCTCAATGTCACTAATCATCAAAAAGATGCAAATTAAAACAATGAGAGAGATTCCAAAATGGCACCTGAGTGAACGGAAGCTACACAGACCGTCTCCCAGGACCGAACTGGAATTACAACAAAAACACAGACAAATCCACAGGAAAAAGCAACAGAAAAGCAGCTTGCAAGGACCATATAACTAGGGACACTGACTCCATCCTGGTAGGATTGCGAAAGGGTGAGACAGGGGCTGGGAGCCCACAGTCACAGCTCAGCAGCGGCCTTAGCTGGGAGCAGCGCCCTTGGGTTAAAGCCCAAGCAGATCCACAGCGCAAGCCGGGACAGAGGCTAAAATAGCCACAGCCACTCACCTTGGGCTCCGGCAGAAGCAGGGAGACTGGACTGGAACTGTGTGGGGACACGCGGGATTTGAAGGGTGCTCAGAGCTTTTGCTGAGCTGCAGCCATGCAGAACGGTGGCCATACTGCTCCTTCCCATGGCTCTGGGGAGAGGCAGCAGCCACTCCCTCGGAGATTCAACCCCACCCTTTGGGCCATTGAAATGCAAATTGAGCCTTACTAATAACCAGCTTCTGCCCCATTCGCTGGAAATCCCCTTAGGCTGAGCACCTGAGGGAGTTTTTCAATCAACTAACAACCCAAAACTCTTCAAGTAACCTGGACTGCTAGCCTCCAGGCAAAAAGCTAGAGGATAACAGTACCATTCCTGGGCCAGCAACTCTAACCAGGAAAGTAAGACCTGACAGTGGTGTTTAACATGGGTCCTCCCTCGCTCATCCAAACCCAGGAGAGGGAGCCACAAACAGCAGAACACCAACACCCACAGGGAAAATTAGGCAGGCTCCAAAGCCCACTGTGATAGCCAAAATGGTGAAAAACAGAAACAAAAGCCAAATGAAAGAACAAAAGACTTCTACTGAAGATGAGATAAATGTGGAGCAGTTAAGCAAGTTCACAGAGCTAGAATTCAGAGCCATGATCTTGAGGAAGCTGAACAGCAGGAGTAAGGACATAGAGATGCTAAAAATAAACCAACTGGAAATTTAAAACTACCAAGAAGAGATCAAGAGTGACATATCAGAAATAAAGAACACATTGGAAAGCCTAAAGAGCAAAGTAGAGGAAGTTGAGGACCAGATCAGTGAATTAGAAGACGGTATAAAAAAATCAACCAATCAGAAAACCAAAAGGAAAAAACTATTAGAAAACAGGAAGACAGCTTTAGAGAACTGTGGGACAACTGGAAACATAATAATATTCACATCATAGGAGTCCCCGAAGAAGAAGAAAATGAGCAAGGGTTAGAGAATATATTCAAAGAAATAGTGACAGAAAATGTCCCTAATTTGGTGAAGGAAGAAGGCATTCAAGTTCAAGAAGCACAGAGAGCCCCAAGTAAGAAGAACCCAAACAGGCCCATACCATGGCACATAGTAATTAAAATGCCAAAAATTCAAGACAAAGGGAGAATCCTAGAAGCAACAAGAGATAAGCAACAGGTTACCTACAAAGGAACCCCATAAGGCTCTCAGCTGACTTCTCACAATAAACATTACAGGCCAGAAGAGAATGGCATGAAGTAATCAAGGTCATGAAAAACAAAGATCTGAATCCAAGACTACACTACCAAGCAAGGCTGTCATTCAAAATAGAAGGTCAAACAAAGAGCTTCCCAGACAAAAAAAAAAAGACAAAGGGAATACATTAGCACCAAACCAGCACTACAAGAAATGTTAAAAGGACTGCTGTAATTAGTAGAAGAACTAGGAAGAAAAATGTAACCAAACAAAAATGGAAATAAATAAGTACATATCAATAATCACCTTAAATGTAAATGGAGTGAATGCTCTGATAAAAAGACACAGAGTAGCTGATTGGATAAGAAAGCATGACTCATCTATATATTGTTTACAAGAGATTCACCTGACAACAAAAGACTCACATAGGTTGAAAGTGAAGGGATGGAAAAAATTTTTCCAAGCAAACGGAAAGCAAAAAAAAGCTGGGGTAGCAATACTCATATCTGATAAAAATGGATTTCAAAATGAAGGCCATAACTAGAGACAAAGAAGGCCACTACATAATATTGAAAGGATCTATCCAACAGGAAGATATAACCTTGATAAACATATATGCACCCAATATAGAAGCACCAAAATATATTAAAAATCTTCTGGAGGACTTCAAAGGAGAAATTGACAGCAATAAAATCATTGCATGGGACTTCAACACCCCATTGACACCACTGGATAGATCCTCTAGATAAAAAATTAACAAGGAAACAGAAACTCTAAATGAAGCACTAGACCAA